AAATACATACAACGCGGGCGCGGTGCTGATTTTTTGTAATTCTTCACCAAAGTTTTTGAAAACACTAAAACGGGAAAAATCGTAATGTATAACTTTGATCCCTCTACACAAAGAACAACACAAATAACCCGTCTGGCACAGCTAATAGATATATGTACTTTACTTCATTGGCAGCATAGTCACTAATAACAGAATTGAACAAAATTAAAATAATTTTTTGTGACATGGACAAGACAAGGTGGTTATTATGTAAAACGTACCCAAAAAGCCGGAAATAGCATTCGATTTTTTCTATCACCCACAGTTTTCTTGCAATAAGGCTTATTTGCTGTTTATACTCGTAAAATATAAGGATATGTGTGTAAGAGTACTAATAAACACTCGAATAAACATTAATCTCAGAATGTTGTTGTCGATGTTTTACGGCGACATGTTGCTCCTAAAGTATCTCTTCACATTGCCTAAAAAATTTGCAGTAACTGATTTTAAAGCATTCCAAGCTCGTAATTCAGTTTCATTTAGAGCATTGTCAAATACATCATCCTTCATGATTTTCCGTATTTGTGGACCCTCAAATATGCCCACTTTAATTTTTGCCTGACTAAGTCTCGGAAATGTTTGTTTTAAACGCAGAAGCCCCCTTCCACTTCGATCCATAGCTTGCACACAATTTTTCATCAGTCCCAACTTAATATGCAAAGGTGGAAGCAACACGTTTTTGGGATCAACTAGTGGTTCATGAGTAATGTTTTTGAAGCCCAGCGTTAATACCTGACGTAGTGAAGAAGAATGGCTACTACCTTTAAATCTGCACATATGGCCCATCCATATTCATTATAACGGATATGCTCTTACAGAACTCGCATATTTTCATATGGTTCCTTCATATGATTTGCGTGCGCTATAGATACAGATGGATATTTATTACCGTTGTGTACCAATACCACTTTTAAACTAAGCTTAGGGGAATCAATGAACAGGCGCCAGTCATTTGGATCATGTTTCTGTCCTAACGCGTCAAACAAATTGTTGACATCGGAGGAATATATCAACTCCCTTTCTTGACGGAAATAGTGTTTGAGGTCTTGTTGCCGTTTTCGGTAAAAAGTAATATTAACATCACCGTGGAAAAGATTCCATCCTTCTGATCTTGACGTTAAAAGTTCTGACTGGAATTTTGACAGATTTAGTTCTCGAACTAAGTGATGAAGTTCACCCTGTGTGATCAAATGCGGCGCAGTTGAACATCCTAGCAGGTCAAACGAAAGATCGAAAATTTATACGCTTTCTGTACCATCACTTTCAGTATCGGTGGATTCGACTTTTTCATCCAAAGACCAAGATTCTGGTGGAACTGGGACATAAAGTTCATCACTATGCTTAACGGGCCGCAAAGCTGATGGCAAGTTAAAATACTTGACGGTATGTTTCGATTTTGGTCCAATACCTTTAATATTTGTGAGGCAAAAATAGCGATCAATAGTAAGGTCTCTCGGTTCTCTCCAAACCATTGGTACCACAAAAGGCATTTCACGATTGTCGCCTCTGAACGAACCTGTTAACAACGCTTCACAAGTCTTACAACATATATGACAGGCCCATAGTTTATCTTATTCGCCAACTTTAATTCCAAAATAAAGTTCGGATGTCCTCTACACAAAGGGAGTGAAAGTACGTTTTTGGGATTTAAAAGTTAGCTCTCCGCACACATAACAAAAACTGTTTGCACTATTTACACAATTTCTAGGCATTGTCCATTAAGCTAGTCTCGATCACAATAAACTAAAAAACAACACTCCGTTTTAACAAAAATTAACAGTACTCAGAACATCTCAGTACTCTTCAACACAGAAAATGTAACTGACTCGGCTGCTATTAGTCTACTAATAAACGCAATATGTTCTTTAACCACAGGAATAGACAGTTCTTACCATTATATATGTGCGTCATCGCATAAACGCCGAGAAATGCAGCAATATGAGATGTTACCGAATATCTGTGGGTGACACAAAAATTCTGTTTTTGGATATGGTTTAAGCGTCTCAAAATACGTAAGATACACCCAAAAATTGTCATGTCACAAATCCTTTGTTTATCAGTGTAATTTTCTCACATAGCAAATATCACAGATTCTATACACATGCAGATCAATACAATCATCCAGACTCAACCAAACTTTCGTTTTTTCACATTTCAAACACTACAATTTGTAATCTACAAACAAACGGCATGTCTGCAACCAACAATGCATACTTGTAAAGAGACGACCATACCGTATCGTTCATCCTTTCCTCCAGAGATGGACGCTTTGTATCGCGTTAGCAACGATCCTAGTGAGCAAACGTGGAATGACAGTTTGCACCCTAAAAACTACCTAGTCTGCAAGAGTGCAAGATGACATCTTATAGGTTTTTTTGACGTTTTATACGTTTTTTACATAATATCCGTGTTTTCGGCGAAATAAATGCTGCTAGGTTCTTCATATCATTAGGCGTTCCATTACAGAATTGCCTACGCATTTACAGATAACACTGCTCAACTAGCAAAGTAGTGCTTCACGCTTTTGGTGAAAAAACAGTTAAGTCATAAAAAGGCCCCTTCGTTGTTGCCTGAACACCAAAACGCTGGCTTAATAAGTGCAAATTTGCTTCGTGCAGCATATTTGCTCTAAAATGAGGTGTCACAACTTTTATAGGACAAAAGTGCTGTACTCATCATAGATTTGTGGCTTGATATATATATATATATATATAACTTCACCATAACCTAAGTCTCTGCTGTCATATTCTTAGGTTGAATGCCATAACCATTATTTTTTTTTTCTTCAAGAATATTCGTTGTAAAGGTTTTATCAACAACAGATAGATCTGGTACAAATTCGGAGTAAAGCATAAATATAGGATTTGTGGAAGATTTGAAGCAGATAAGTTTAGATTTTCATCTTAAAAATATGAACCAAATATGAAGCCCGTAGAAATTGCGTCATTTATTTGTACGATAAAATCAGAATAAAATTTGCTGCACAAATCATTAGATAGCCCTAGTTCACAGTGCACAAACTTATCATACAGCTACTCCTGTATGAAATTCACAATGGCCGATATGTCAGTAAACAAGATGAATGTAATGTGTTGCTTTGAAAGTATTCTTCAATTCGCCCATAGAATACATAAAAAATAGGTTGTTTAGCGGATGCAAGAGTGTTCACACTTTCGTCGTATAACTGTTACCTGTAGCCCTTAAATTAGGTGTGCCCATTGCGATTGTATAGAGGGCTGAACACGCTTTGCAAATACTTTTATAACCTTCAATGCTCTATAAAGAATACAGTATAAAAGTTCTTGCAACCCCAACAGGAGTGGTAATACTTAGTTAGTGTTCAGGAATACAATTACCAGAAAGGTACGAGAACCACGCCAACTTGCTCTCAGTTATTCTACTCCCTCATTTCAAAATTAACCCCCTGGGCAGAAACATAACTCGCAGTGCAAGTGTAAAACACGGCGCTGCTTTCGTTAGTCCAACCATGTTTCGTGCTTTCTAGCAACTCATCAGCATGATCTAAACTTGGTCTCTGAACAACGAACGAAAGCATAGCAACTATCCCGGATATAATGTCCATCGAAATAAGAAAGCATAGTGGTGATTATGATAATAGATGGCGCTTTGCGCTATCTCATTTCTTTATAACCAAAACGGAAGGACATACCTTAATAGATCGTACGCGGCATGCTTATGAATAAGCATAGTCGGTGCTCGCGGATCCTGCCATATTCAAAGACAAGGCGCGTTAACAGTGGCGTACGACGTATTTTGCCCTTTTCTCTTTCGATACCTAGATTATAGTGTTAGAAACAGGAATTCGAAAGGGGCTTCACATCATCGGCCGACTGAATTGAATAATAATAACGCTTTTATTCAGAAAGTGATCATACTATGGCGAAGTTAGAAATTGCTACTCCTTCAGTTAATCATATACTACAACGAGACATCAGACAAAACATTAGGATAGGAACACGAATCGGTTCACTATCAGGAGTGCATTAAAGAGGAGTGAAAATATAGAAAGACTATAAACAATAGAACAAAGCTATTATAAGCAATATATCATTCGGCAAAGTGTATTTATCACTCAATGTGCTGAGCCCAGAAAGTGCAACTTGAATGTCTTCTTGAAGCTCTGCAAACTTGAAGTTTTATACTTGGTTAGCTAGTAAAACATTATAGAACTTAGTCGCATTATAAGTAAAGGACCTTTCAAAAACTGACATACGATGTATAGGAATGGAAAGTAGATCATTGTGCGCAGATTAAGAATAATTTGGTTCCCACGAGGAATCAACTTATCGAGTAAATAAACTGGTTTACTAGTTTCCAAAATTCTATGCACCAATGAAACCACGGAATAATTGAATAAACCATCAACTGTGAGCCACTGTAACTCCAAGCCCAAATATGAATCTGCAACAGTCATTCTGAAGCTTCGGCAATTTTAACTTGCAAACTGAATCTAACCATGGGTAAATAAGGACTACAGAGTAAACTGACGTTTCAATATGAGGCTTTCGCACAACTTTTTACTGCACTTAAGTCCCTTTCTTTCACGAAATTCTGGACTACCAGCCAGGGCTTCAACTAAGACTGGCAATACTTCTACTACTAAAAATCGGGGCTAACAGAATGAAATAATTTCACTTTAGAATCTTGTTAGCTATAGATTTTCTCAATTCACCAATAGCGTTGAAGCCGATACAGCCATCTTCAGCTATCGACCAGAAATAACAACTCGGTCCTAAATTTGAATTTGAAGACCCGTTCAGTCTGGTAAAAAGGAAGAGTGATACCGCGGTGGCAGTGGCTTGCGAAATGTTTAGCTGTTGTCTTCCTTTTCAGTCCCTATTCCTAAGCATGCTCCATCGGAGAAGAGTACATAATCTATGAGTAGGATAAGCAACTTTGGCTCATGAATTTGGCAAAATAATATCAAACGACGGCCACACCTTTAACAAATAGAAGGCAGAATCGAAATCTCCACAGCAGGTGTGATGAATGATCGCCGACGAAACCTTCCAAAACATCATTTTATTTTAATTAAAGAGTGGAATAAATTAGTCAGATGACTTAACTGACTTGTATATTTCACACGTCTCAACCGTCTGTTCTATTGGCGAACCACCAAGTTTCAAAATAAAACCCCTTATTAACATCCTACACAATGATGAAGTGGATAGAAGATGATGCAACTATTCCAAGAATGCTCAACTAATGGGCTTAATGATTTTATGGCGAATATACATTGGTAACTTTGTTATTAGTAAAAATACAAAGTTGTTTAAATTAGCAAACTAGTAGCATTTTTAACGCTGGTAAAAATGAGAAATAAAAAAAAAACAATTGAGAGTCGTTATTTTGATTTTTTTCAGTAAAATAACATTTTTTTAAATGGAAACCCCTGTATATTATATTTTTTTCTGTTAAAGCATCAAATTTTAAACAAAAAAGTTCATAATGACTTTTCAAGTCAAAAATAAAGTCAAAATAACGATAAATATTTTTAATTATTTGCAGTATTATAATATTAAGACGGCTATGAAAACAACATGGCGTTCGCGATTTGACAGCATTAAGATAAGCGACAAATTGTTAAACTGGACATACTCGCAACTAGAAGGCTTTGGAAAACAATGATAAAATCAAATAATGTCAAACATTAGTGTAAATACTTGTTTATAAGCTTTATTGTGTCATTAATTTAAAGAAAAATGTTCTCCCATGAAGAAAAGTGTGATATGTTAGAATGCTATTTAGTGTGCAGAAAATCCTCCTTGAGAGCAAGAGAATACTACAGTGAATTATATCCCGCTCGCATTCAACCGTATGAACGATATTTTTAGGGGCAACGAAAATGTTTTTGCTAAAACAAGGGCAAAAAAAGAATTCATAATAAGCGAGGCCACGGAAATTGCAGTTATTGGATATTTTGAAGCTTATCGTGAGAATTCAATAGCAGATATTCTCAAGGACTCTAATTTCAGTTATGGTACTGTTCAAAGGATTTTAAAAAAATACAAATTTATTCCGTATAAGTACCGACCAGTTCAAACGCTTTTGGCAGGGGATCCAGAGAGAAGACTTGTTTTTTGCCATTGGTATCTTAGCTTCTGTCGCCAAAATGTAAATAACTTTCGTTACCTTTTATGGACAGATGAATCAAATTATCCAAATTCTGGAATGTTTAATAGAAAAAACCACCATTATTGGTCAAGAGAAAATCTTTTGTTAGTACATCCAAGAGGCCCACAAGTCCGTTTCAGTTTCAACGTTTGGTGCGGTATAATTGGTTCAAAAATTGTTGGCCCGTTCTTTTATGAGGGAACCCTAACTGGTGAAAGATATGTGGGATTTATGTCAGAAATTCTGACTAATTTCTTAGACGAATTGGATCTTATAAGTAGACATCATCTGCATTTTCAGCAAGATGGCGCACCTGCCCACAACTCCAGAGGTACTTATGATTTTCTAAGTACTACTTTTAATGATCAGTGGATAGGAACAAATGGCCCAATACAGTGGCCTCCCAGATCACCAGATCTAAACCCACTTGATTACTTCTTGTGGGGTTACTTAAAGAACCAAATTTACAAGCGAAGGTACGATAACCTTGACGCGTTAAAGACTGCAGTTAGGGAAAAGATAACCCAGATAGATGGTAGGACCATACTTAAGACAGTTCGAGCAGTTGAAAAACGTGCCCAAAAATGTATTGAAGAACAAGGTGGTGTTTTCGAGCATCTTCTTTAAAAAAATTGTTATTGTATTTTGTAAGATTATAAGTTGATGTTGAAAATAAAGTTTGTCGATACAATTTAATTGTTTCAGATTGGAGGCCATAACTTCAACAATTTGTAACCTAGGAGAAAAGTTATTGTAAGCTTTTTTGTTTAAAATTTGATGCTTTAACAGAAAAAAATATAATATACAGGGGTTTCCATTTAAAAAAATGTTATTTTACTGAAAAAAATCAAAATAACGACTCTCAATTGTTTTTTTTTATTTCTCATTTTTACCAGCGTTAAAAATGCTACTAGTTTGCTAATTCAAACAACTTTGTATTTTCACTAATAACAAAGTTACTAATGGTGGACACTTAATTTGGATAACCCTGTATATGTACGGTGTTTCGTAAGCAGGGAGCAATAATCGAGGAATCAATCCCTGAACTATACCGAGAATTTGTTGTGTTCGGTTAATATGTTCACTTTACTTTGGCGTTTCAAGTTGAAGACGACCCTATTTCCTCGATTCAAACGTGCAAAGGTTAGCCAATGAAATATTATACAGGGTGTTCGGAAAATGGACGGAGATATTCTAGAGGGTGATTCCTTGTTACAAAATATGAAAATAACTTTCTATAGACATGGATCCGGAAATGCGGAGTTTTCAATATAGGTGATACATTTTTTTTTTAATATTTAAAAAAATATTTGTTCGATTCTGTTGAAATTTGGCGGTATTATTTGTTGTATTAAAAGGCTAATTCGGCCCTAAATAGATTAAAATTATTAGGATCAGTGGCGTCCCGGGGGCGTCTTAGCGAATATTATTGGCAAAAAATGAACGACTTTGATATTTGTTGTATAATTAAGCATCTAAAAATACAACTTCTTTGCCTCTTGTATTTTTTCCGTACCGTCATTTGGGGTTAAATTGATCAAAATATTCAGATTATTCGCATAATTTTTGTTATGTCACAATTTTATTTGGCTATGATGATTGAATCTGTTACATATTATGAGCAAGAATCGCACAGTCGGTGCACAGAACCCCAATGTTTGAAACTATGACCATAACGAATTCAAAAAGGGCTGATCAATCTCATACGTGTTTTGGGGCGAGATTGTTCACGTAGTATTAATCGCGTGCAAAATGAGCGTACAGGCTCCTAAATGAACGATCTCAACTCTGGTTATTATATTTCTACTGGTTACAGAACTACAGCATTTTAATGTAGGTGGGGTGAGATTGTTCACTATGGGTGAGATTGATCAACTTTATTTTACTCTACATATTCCAATAAATAATTGCTGAAAACACCTATTTGGATAATAAACTACATTTATTTTTCCAGGTAACTCACAAAAAACTATTTTCACATATTGAATTAGGTGCTTACCCATATCTATAACTAATACAAGTAACTTAAATAAGTATCCTAACAGTTGAGGTAGAATATAAAAAAGAAAAACTACATTTCGAATATATCTATCATATTATCAAAACGATAGGTGATAAGGCCATCTGAATTTTCGATGACAGGATCCGGCAACACAGCTACTATGTCTGGAAAATCCACTATAAATTCGTCGCCATCTTGAGCTTTAAACTTATTTTTAGATCCATCTATAGACGTTAATCCCAACACCTCGAATTCTCGAACATTTTGATTCTCGGTCACATTTTGCACAACGGCAATATATCGATAAACTGTTTTTTTTCTTGATCCACCACATACTTTAACTACAAGAAATTTGCCAGGAAATATATCTCTTTGTCTTAGTTCAAAGTATTCGGTTTCCGGTTCGGCGATGGTATCTAATGAGTTTTCACTGGAGCTATCATTAGTATGAGGATCGTCGTTTGTTTCCGAGTCACTCGATTCTTCATTTGGAACAACACTTTTCCCAGAGTCTACAGACAGCTTTTGACGCCTCATATTCCTTCTTGATGGCCCTACCATGAATCGCTGCTGTTGCAGATATCCTACAATAACGTTGCCCAGCGCATCTTCAGTATTCGTATCAGTAGTTTGGCTTGGAATTTTTCGCAGAACCCGTTCAGCATCCAGAGGAGCTATACCAGTTGCACGAAATGAACTTATCAAGTCTTCCTTTATAGCATTGTTATGTTTTTGGTTCGTTTCTACAAGAGTAGAAGCTAATAGACTGGGAAAATCCTTTTTATCCAGAGTAGATTGATGAAGATGAGTGTTCTTCCATTTTGTTAGGGAAGACCTCCAAGCTATCTTAAAAGGACGATAAAATCCGACATCTAATGGCTGAGTGAGATTGGTCGAACACTTTGGGAGGCAAACGAAAGCGACATCGTTTTCTCCACACTGTCTTAAATCGCTTTCTGTGAAATGGGAAGACAGGTTGTCTCCAATTAACACTTTCCGACCAGGAAGAGATTTTGCATGAGGAAGGAAAGCTGATTCAAACCAATCTGTAAACGTTTGAGCGTCCATCCATCCATGTTGGGTCCGATTATATCGCGAGCCGACACTGCAGCATCTATTGTTGCAGCAAGGCTCGCCCTTGGGACCAAGCTCAATCCACTGCTTCCACATTTTCTCAGCCTTATGAATAACGTATGGTGGAAGCAGCACACCAGAAGCCGACCCGCACATCATTATGGTAGTAGCAGTTTTGGTAAAGTTGCATATCCTTTCAGGGTACTTTGTGCCGCGCCGAAACAGCATTTTTTGTTTTCCGGGATCATCCTGCACATTTGTTTCATCATAGTTGAATATATTACAAGCTGGGATGTCCTTTAATGTTTCACTCAAATTTTCAAAATAATGGACTATATCTTCCCTTGAAACATTGGCCCGAGCTCTCTTGATGTTCGATGCAACTTTTTGGCGAATATCTTTCTTATGTCGTTGTAAGAAAGAACGAGCCCAATCTGTTCCAGGCATGTTTGCTCTAAACTTTCCAATATTGCGACCCTGACTATCCAGATAGCTTTTAGCTATATAGCGCAAATCAGTAAGCGTAAGTGGGAATCCCCAATCTGAACAAATAGTTACTGCTTTTACGAAGGCAAGCTCTTCCGCATTTGAAAAAACTGTTTGACCTTCAGATTTTAGAGTTCTGATTCCCATATACTTATTCCGAAGGGTACCAAAAGGGATATTATGTGCAGCCGATGCTTGACGGAGGGACCATCCATCTTCTACCATCTTTTTGAGAGCAGCTTCTAGGATCTCTGGGGCATAATCCACGTAACGGAGTGATCCAAGTCTTCTTTTATAATTCCTCGGCATGATTAGGATTCATCAACTGGAAGAAACAATAAAATT